TTATTATTATTATTATTATTATTATTATTATTATTATTATTATTATTATTATTATTATTATTATTATTATTATTATTATTATTATTATTATTATTATTATCATTATTATTATTGCTGTTGTTGTTGTTGTTGTTGTTGTTGTCATTAAATGTTTTAATGATTACAATTAATGATTGATACTTTTTAAAATATGAAATTAATGCAAAAGATAATCCATTTATTCTCGAAAATTAATTAATCATTTATTTCATTACACTTTATGCAATTGTAACATTGCTATCTCACGTTTTATCATTTCTTCTATCAAATTGATGTAAAATTAATTACGTATTTGAAGTGAAAATTTTAGCAATATTACAGTTTCTTTATCACACATCCATATTATATATGGATTAAAGTGTTATCATATTAAAACATACTTAACATCAAATATTGCTATAACTTTATATTCTTATCTTAAGTATATCTTAACATAACAAACTGGGATGTGCTTTACTCAGGATGCATTCTTAAATGTGACAAAGTGACCAAATAGTCAAATGGTCAGGTAAAGATGACAAATAAAACGCGATAAAAACTTTTCTAATTCATTTGTTCAATTTCTGCAGTCTTATATGATCTCTGTTTAGACTATTCGAAAAGTTATTTTAAAAAAGAATGGGCGATTATTTATAATGAACGATGCTTGATAGTTTTTTGATATAGCTTGCCCGATATTTCTCAAATGAAACGATCAATGATTTTGTTGAGGATTTCAAAAGCTATAATAAAACTATTTGAGATTATCAAAATAATCAATATGACTTTTTTTTTGTTTTTTGATAGATGTTTGGAAATTTTCAAAAGTGTTTTCGAGCTAATTCCACTGTTCCAACATTAAAAGAAATGTTGCATAAGATGGAGTTTACTGTCAATCTATCATTATTCATTTGTTATTGCTAATTTGAATAAAGAAAAAAAAGGAAAAAACTAATTTATAAAACTGATTTATTTAACTGATTTTATTCAAACTGATTTATTTTTTTAAAAAATTTATTTTAAACTGATCCATTTTTTTTTTTTAAAAAAAACCTGTCTTTTTGATTATTAGTCAATTCATGAAGTTCCCATGTTCAGAAGAATCTTCTCAACTTCTGTGAGTTAATTTCAATTGTCACACCTCAAATTGTCACATGACCGTTGCATAACTAACAATCAATTCCTTGAAACTTCAATTTATCATAATTTTTATCATTCTGATAAGTAAAACTTAATCATTCCCCTGATACTGTTGCCATTTTAAAACTTGTAATAAATTTTCTTCGGTATCCATCAAAACTATTCAGTCTGTTAATTTGTGCATTTGATTTTAAAACTGTTTCTTACCATTATTTCAAACAGCAACGGACATCAAGCTGTCACCATCGGATAGAATATGTCAAATGTCACATGCAAATTCCACAAAATTATCGAAATTTGTTTTATATTGTTATGCACTTTAAGTGATCAGCAATTTCTAGAATTAATGACAAGAATATTATGCATAATTAAATATTATTTTATCAAGTCAAGAGAGTTTCTCACGGCAAGCATTGGTTTCTTTTTCAAAGCAAGCAATTTTGCGCCCAAAATTGCGCCCCAATTTGTTATTGTTGCTGAAATCATTACGATAATTATACCAACAAGCAGAAATGATTATGCAATGGAAAAAAAGAAAAGATTTAAAAATTACCATAATATCATTTTATACTATCAACTTAACAATCATTAAATTGTTTTACCTCTTTTTTTCTTGAAAAAGTAATTAATCAGGATTAAGTATTATCAATTAATCGATCCACTATTATGTAAACATACATTTTCCTACTTATACTTTCGATATTTCAACATCCATTAGATGAGTAATTAGCTGCTTATTATTTCCAACTTGTCGAATTTAGAATTTGCAATAAAACCCATACCTGAAATTGATTCGAATCCATTTTCATTTGAGTTCGCATTGCAAAAATGACAAGGATTGAAGTCAAGGAGGTGAAAAACATACCGCTAACAGCGAAACCACACAATATAAGAAAGATGTATAGGAATCCGTTTGCCATATTTGAAATCAAACAAATGAAATTTTGTTGAATTCTGAAATTAAAGACTTAACGGAATACATATAACCCTTTATAAATTACTTCAATTAAAAAAAAAGAACGGATTCTATTGACGACAGATTCTTATATTTAATGTTTGGTTAGTGGCATTTATCAATGAATCATTCTTGAAGGATTTGTCTTGAACAGAATCACCCAAGTTTTAAAGGATTTACTTCACAATCTTTCATGTCAATCATCCAGAAGCACTTGCAGGTCACAAATGGATGATGAAAAAGACAAGGTAAAGGAACGAAATGAATGGAATCTAAATGAGAAGTTTCAGGAAAAGATTGGAAGAGGAAATGATGAAGCTCATAAATTATCTAAAACTTAAAAATTATGCCTTTTTTAGTAGACATCGTCTGAATCATTCATGTCTTTTTGTTTTATAATTTAATTAATTGTCCCATTTTTATAACCAGAAAAGAGGGAAGGCGAATAAAATAAGATGATTGAAAAGAAAATAATGGAAACAGAAAAGGAGAGAGAAAAAAAAAAAACGAGATTTCATCCATTCAATGATTTGATTTTCCTACGAGTATTTTTCTTCATCATACTTCAAAACTATTCAATCTATTAATTTGTGCATTTGATTTTAAAACTATTCCTTGCCATCATTTCATGTAGTAATTGGATATGAAATTGTCACCGTTGGATGGAATAAAAAAAAAAAAGTTTAAAATGTCGTGCGCAAATTTCGTAAAATAATTAACATTTATTTTGTATCATTATGTATTCTAAATAAATGATCAATAATCTATAGAATTAATGATATGAATATCACAGATATTTTCACATGTCATTTTATCAGATCAAGAGAGTTTCTCATAAAAAGCATCGAATTCTCTTCCAAAGCAAACAATTTTGTGTCCAACATTGCGCCACAATTCATCAATGTTGCTGCAAAATCAATTATGGTAATTATATCAAAAAGCAGAAATGATTATGCAAAATTATTTCTTTTCTAACAAAAAAAAAGGAAATCTATTTGGATGATATTTCATTTAAACTTAAAACTTATCAAACTGAATGTTTTTGGAACGAATTCAAAGTTAAGTATTATCAATAAGTTAATTGACTATTATGTAAGCATACATTCTTCTACTTGTGCTGTCGTTGATTCAATGTTAATCAAATTGGGAATTAATTGTTCATTATCCCACAATTTATCAGTTTTACAATTTGCGTTAATCATTTGTCCACCTGGAATTGATGCCAATTCATTTTCATCTATCATCTCATTGAAATTAAAAAGTGTTGAAAGAAGATGGAAAACACACCTGCACCAGCAGCGCATAATATGCAAAAGACATATAAGGATTTGATAATCATAGTTAATTGGTGAAATTCGTTGAATTCTGAAATGTAAATTAATTTCAAATATGATACTTAACATTGAATCTTTATCATTTCAATTAGAAAAGAATCATTTTATTAAGGATAGATTCGTATATTCAATGTTTAATTAGTGACATTTATCAATAAATCATTTTTGGAAGCCCAAATTTCAAAGGATTTACTTGACGACCTTTCACATCATTCATCTAAAAGCGTTTGTTGGGTCGAAAACGGATGATAAGAAAAAGAGGCGAAGTAAAGAAACGGAATGAACGGAATCTAAGTGAAAAGTTTCAGGTTAAAATATCAAAGGATGAAATGATTAAATTTATAAATTGGAAAAGATTTTAAATTATTCCTTTTATAGTCGTTTGAAAGAGTTGAACATTTCACTTTGTTCTCTTTTTTTCCTTTTTTTTTAATTATTCGATTATTTGTCAGATTTTTAGGGTGAAAAAAAAAGGTTGAATAAGTAAAAAACAAGATTTCATCCATTCAATGATTTAATTTTCCTGTAACAACCATCCATTAACAACTTTGTAAATAGTTGTTTTCACTAAATGTTTAATTTTAAAATTCGGAAAAATCAAATTTAAAGAAAGTCAAACTATCAACCAGTTATCACTTATAAAGAATAGACATTGAAATTATATATTAAATTTCACCAACAATCATTGAAATTTTTGCTCGGATTTCAACAGATGGTCGAAAGTACCAATTTTCAGGTGGGAAGTACCAATCGGTAAAAACTTTAGTCAGCCTATCATGTAGCATCCTGCAAGCAATAAGACATGATCTATATGTTTCTGGGAAAAGCAAAGAAATTAATTGTCTCATAAGCAAAGACCGCTGATAGCGGGTTTTCTCATTAACTGTAAAAGGGATTTTGAAAAACTGTTGATATGCTTCTTTTTTTTTCCAGTTTGAATAAATTTTAAACAGCCTGTACTGCTAAAATCTTGAACAAAAGAGGTGAATCATTAAAAATTAATTTGATACCGTTGGGTATATATTGATATACTATAACAATAAAGTAAGCTAAAATTGTGGATTCATTGTATTTAAGTACTCTAACAAAGGCGGTAATTCTTGTGACCTCAGAACTGACCTCAGAACTATACCAAGATCCTTCCTATCCGAGCATGAAGAGATTTCTTAAAGTATTCCTAGAGATGTTTTTCAACAAGGTTGCTTGGATAGCCAATATCAAGCATCATTAGGCCTCCTTTTCCTATTTTTATTATTAATTTATTTTATCGGAATCATAATTACTGAGTTTGTTGTATTAACATGCTTATCACAATAAAAATTGAATTATCCAAGTTTGTGATATTATTAATCAAAGAAGCAGAAAGAACTGTCAATCATTGTGAGAATTGAAGAAAATCGTTGAAGGCCTATCTCACAGTTCTGTTTCATTTGCTTCTTCTCATCAAAGAATCTCCAATGCAGGTTGGTAGCTAGATTCTTCGGTAGTTAGATTCTCAATGGTAATTTTTTAAATGAATATTTCAAAATGAGACATCTGAAATTTTTGCAAATCTACCCAAAATCATAGATTTATTTTGCAAATCGATATTAAATTTTGATACTGTCATAATTTTTTAGATGACCAATTATCTTCCTGTGTGTTAAAATTTAATTTGAAAATTGAAATTAAAATTTTCCAAAAAAACTATTTGAATATAAAATAAAGGGACTTTTGCAGAAAGTGGTAAACTCGGAAATGGTATCTATCAAATTAGGATAAATGGAAGAAGTTTCAAAATGTGTAAATCAAAATACATGAAATAATAATTGATTGTGTAACATCGCAATTTGAAGTAATAATTATCTCCCGAAATGTTGACAAATTACAGTGTTTCGTCTTATCAGGCTATCAGTAAAGTAATGCAAATGCATAAGAAATTTACATAATCATTGTGTTTTTAGACTCTTTTTAATTAATAAAAAGTAGTAATTATGGTATGTATTTTCGAAAATGAGAAATAAGCTTACCTATTCTTGTGCTAGCTTGCTTATTTATAGTTTAATCTATTCTTGTAGTTTAGAAACCTGTGGAGGATTTGATGAATTCCTGTGAAAGCATTCCTTGCATTATACTGTTTTCTGCGAAAAGATATTGAGAAGCTTTAGAAAGTAATTGAGTGATTGTATGGGATTAGGCAAAAGTTCTCAATTAAATTCGTATGAGGCGTTGTTGTCTTTAAAAAAAAAAAAAAAAATTGAACGCAATCTCTTATTGAGCAATGTTTGCTGAAGATATTACAATTCCATTTTGGTACATCTCATTCATTTGTAACATCAATAAACTGTAGTGATGACACATTCATATCAAATAGTCACCATTGCTTTTTTGGCGCAATATCGATTTCAGGGAAACTTTAAACAGCGAATGATTGAGATGACCGTCGCATATTCTTTTACAAAATCCACTTTTCGTTACATGTAGCCAACCTATTTGGAAAGTTGCCAGTCGTATTTTAAACGGATGATTTTTTTTCGATTATCAGTGTCCATTTACTGAGCTTTTCACTCTTTAATTTACTTCGAATGGTAAACAATCCTTAAATGGGTAACTTTATGTTCACTGACCACATTTAGTTGTAAAAACATTTGCTTCAATGATTACTCCTTCCTTGTAGTTTTTGAT